AAAACAAAAAAACAAAAAAAAACAAATGTTGGTGAGGATTTTGGGAAACTGGAGCCCTTTTCTGGAAACCCTGGTGGTGTAGTGGTTAAGAGCTATGGCTCCTTACCAAAAGGTCGGCAGTTCGAATCCACCAGGTGCTCCTTGGAAATCTTACAGGGCAGTTCTACTCTGTTCTATAGCGTCACTATGAGTCAGAATTGACTCAACTGCAATGGGTTTTTTTGGTTGAAGCCCTTTTCCATTGCTGGTGAGAATGAAAAATGATACACCTGCTATGAAAAACAGTGTGGAAGCTCCTCAAAAAATTAAAAATAGAACTACCATATGACGTAGCAATTCCACTCCTACATATATACTCAAGGGGCTTAAAAACAATGAAAGGAACAGACATTATGTACACCAGTGTTCACTGCAGCACTATTCACAATAGCCAAAAGGTGGAAACAACCAAATGTCCATCAATGCATGAATGGATAAACAAAAATGTGGCACCTATATACAGTAAAATACTACTCAGGCAAAAAGAGAAATGAAGTCCTGACACATGCTGCAACACGGATGAACCTAGAGGACATTATGTTGAGTGAAATAAGTCAATCAGAAAAGAACAAAATACCGTATGAACTCATTTATATAAAATGACAGAAACAGGCAAATATATAATGACCAAGGTTTATTTGTGGTTACCATGGGCAGGAGGGAGAGGGAGAAGAGGAGCCATTGTTTGGGGAGCTGTGAGTTTCTATTTATGGTGAAGGGAAATTCAGCACTGATTAAGGGAAATGGTTCCACAACATAATGTAGTTGATAAAATGAAAAATGTGGAACAGGCAAATGTTGTTATGCATACGTATTTCTACAACAGCAACAAAAAAGGCAGCTGCTGATACTGGCTAGAAACACCTCATGGGATTTGTTTTCTTGGTTCAGAGGTTTAGGATAATGGTTTGGTGGGACATTCCAATCAATTGGCCTAATATTGATTTTTGTGCTCCTGTTCTACTCCCTAATTCACTGTATAATGTCTGGGGTCTTAAAAGTGGCTATCCAAAGTACAATTGGTCTATATTCACCTGGAACAGCAGATGAAGGTGGAGGGTCAGGAACTGGAGGAGGAACAGGAATACACGTATAACTGCCTCCTTTGCCATGAATCCAGAACTGGATGGTGCCCGGTTACCATTACTGAATGATTTGATCAAAGATTCTATAGAAGAATCCAGATCAAAAGAGGGAAATGTAGAACAGAACTTCCAATTTTCCAAAGAATCCAGACTTTCTGGAGTGATTAAGGCTGGAAGAACCCTGAAACTGCTAAAGCAAGGATGTATGCTTTAATCTGTAGGTAAATCACTAAACAAATAATTACAGAATTTATAATTACCAAATGATTTTTGTTGTTGTTGGGTGGCATTGAAGTCACTGTCGACTCATAGTGACCCCATGTGACAGAGTAGAACTGCCCCGATAGGGGCAGAAGCAGATTACCAGGTCTTTCTCTTACAGAGCCTCTGGGTGGGTTCAAACTGCCAACCTTTCGGTTAGCAGCCAAGTGCTTAATCATTTGTGCCACCAGGGCTACTTACCAAATGCTTATAGAGGGAAAGTAGAATAATAAAATATGATAAAACAATTACAGTCATCCCTCACTATCCACAGGAGATTGGTTCCAGGATCCACCCCGCACCAAAATCCACGGATGCTCAAGTCCCTTATAAAAAATGGCATAGTTTTTGCGTAAAACCTATGCACATCCTCCTGTATACTTTAAATCATTTCTAGATTACTTATAATACAAAATACAATGTAAATGCTATGTAAATAGTTGTATTGTTTAGGGAATATTGACAAGATGTGAGGCTGAGGATCTGTGAAATGGCAGGAGGCTACAACAGGGTATTCCCACACATCATTTCATTTGTGTGGATTCAGCATAGTGCTCAGCGTGTGGCAAATTCAAGTTTTGCTTTTTGGAACTTTCTTCTTTTTCCCCCCTAAATATTTTCAATCCGTGGTTGGTTGAATCTGCGGATATGGAACCTGTGGATACAGAGGGCCGACTGCAAGGATTGTAAAAAAATAAAAGATGGTAAACACAAAGGCAGGCAGGAATGGGGAGAAAAGGAACACAGAACAAGCAAGACACATAGAAAACAGATGGTAGAGTTTAACATTCTGTAATTACATTATGTATAAATGGACTGATACTTCAAAAGAAATATACTGTCATATTGGTTTAAAAAAAAACTAACGATATGCTGCTTATAAGAGAAACACATAAAATACAAAAATATATAGAAAAGATGACAGCGAATGGATGTAAAAAGATATACCATGCCAAAAATACCAAAAAAAGATGCTATAGTAATATTAGTATCAGGCAAAATAAAATTTAAAGCAAAAAGCATTACCACAGATAAAGAAGATACTTCATAATGATAAAGGGTCCAATTTACCTGGAAGATACAGGGGTGCTAACTTTGCATTCACCTAATAACTCAGCTTCAAAATACATAAAGCAAAAATTCATGAACTAAAATAAGACAGACAAATCTACATTCACACAGGGAGACTTTTAAAAGCCTCTCTCAATAAATGACAGAATAAGTTGACAAGCAGTAAGAACACTGAAGATTTTAACAACATGATTAACAAATTCGATCTCATGACATACCCAGAACACTTTGTGCTCAGTATCTGCAGACTATGCATTAACTCCAAGTGCACACAAAATGTTTACAAAAATTGACCATGTGCTGGGTCTTAAAGACAGTTTTAAGAAATTTGCAAATACTGAAATCAGGAAAAGACCTAGAGATCTGCTTCTGTAAAGAGTGTGTTCTCTGACCACAATAGAATTAAAGATAACAATATTATCAGAAGAGTTCCATATAAAATTAAAAAAACACTTATAAATAACCCAAAGGTTGAAAGAAATCACTATGAAAATTTATCACATAATTTGAACTAAAAAATTATGAAGGCATTATATACTAAATGCATGTGATTCAGTTCTGATGGTCCTTAATACATTATAAGAAAAGAAAAAAATGGGTGAAAATCAATGATGCAAGCTTCCAATTCAAGACGTTAGAAAAGATAAGCAAATCCCTAAGAAGGCAAAAATAATGAAGTAAAGATAAGAGCCATCACTCATCTGTCAGTTTGTTGTACTGTAGTGACTAGCAGGTTGCTATGATGCTGGAAACTATGCCACCAGTATTTCAAATATCAGCAGGGTCGCTCATGCTGGATAGGTTTCAGCAGAGCTGCCAGCCAAGACAGACTAGGAAGAAAGGCCTGGTGATGTACTTCCAAAAATCAGCTAATGAAAACCCTATGGATCACAACAGAATATTTCCTAAATAGTGCTAGAAGATGAGCCCTCTAGATTGGAAGGTCCTCAAAATAACACAGTGGTGAAATAATGGACTCGCACATACCAAAGATCATGAAGATGGTGCAGGATGAAGCAATATTTTATTCTGTTATACATGGGGTCCCCATGAGTTGGAGTCAACTCAACAGCAACTAACAACAACAAAGATAAGAGTGAAAAATAATGAAACAAAACAAACACACAATAAAAAGGATCAAAAAGGATGAATTCCTAGATAAACATAACTTACTAAACTGAAACAAAAATGCTAAATGAAAAGTTGGTGGTTTCAATCTACTGAGAGGCACCTCAGAAGCAGGGCCTGGCAATCTACTTCCAAAAGCCATTGAAAACCTTATGGAGCATAGTTCTACTCTGACATACATGGGGTCACCATGAGTTGGAATTGACTCAATGGCTATTTTTTTTTTTTTAATAATTACTAAAGGACTAGAAGCTTCCCAGGGGAATTCTATATACCATAAAAAATATAACTTTCCCTCTCTCACAACTCTCTTCTTGCCCTCACAGAAAGCACAAACGCTATCATAATAGAATCTTCCCACCACCACTTGACCTATATCTATACCCATTGTCTTAGTCATCTAGTGCTGCTATAACAGAAGTACCACAAGTGGATGGCTTTAACAAAGAGAAATTTATTTCTTCACAGTAAAGTAGGCTAAAAGTACAAATTCAGGATGTCAGCTCCAGGGAAAGGCTTTCTCTCTCTGTCGGCCTTCTCGTCAATCTTCCCCAGAGTAAGAGCTTCTCTGCGCAGGGACTCCAGGTCCAAAAGACGCACTCTGCTCCCGGCACTGCTTTCTTGGTGGTATAAGACCCCCGTCTCTCTGCTCGCTTCCCTCTTTTATATCTCAAGAGACTGCCTAGAGATACAATCCAATCTTGTAGATTGAGTCTTGCCTCACTAACATAACTGCTGCCCATCCTCCCTCATTAACATCATAGAGGCAGGATTTACAACATGTAGAAAAATCACACAATACCGGAAATCATGGCCCAGCCAAATTGATACGCACATTTTTTGGGGGACATAATTCAATCTTTGACACCCATCTTCTCCGTTTTTCCTAGTGTTACAAGAAGAAGTAGCCTCCTAACTATCAAAGATAAATCCCTCCTTTTTCATTCTAGATTCTATCACCTTTCACCTTCTCAAAGTCCTTCAGTGATTCCATCTTTGTCTTGCAACATCAATTTCTTCCTCTCCATTGAGGGGAGGTGGGAGAAAGGGGCAGGGAAAGAGGAAGAGAGAAGGAATCTTTCTGAGTAGCTTTGAGCAAAACCAAAAACCAAGCCCATTGCAGTCAAGTCAATTCTGAACCATAGTGACCCTATAGGACAGAGTAGAACTGTCCCATAGTGTTTCCAAGGCTGTAAATCTTTATGGAAGCAGACTGCCACAACTTTCTCCTGCAGAGCGGCTAGGTTCAAACCGCAACCTTCCGGTTAGCAGTGTGCACTTAACCACTGTGCCGCCAGGGCTCTCTTAGAACAAAGCTTTGAGCAAAGTTACCCTAAAAAATACTTCAAATTTTCTGCTCCATCCTTGACCTGTTACTTGAAATAAATTCCATTTTCCTGATTTCTTTTCACTCACCTGGATATGGGGCTCTTGAAATTTCTCTCACCACCACCCATGGTCCTTTCCCATCCTCCAAATGAGATATCATGTCTGGTTTGGAAACCGCAAGCCCTGTTTAGATAAAAATAACAGATTGTATTGTGGCTATAAGCAAGAACCATTTCCAAATTCAGTCTCAGTCCTTAGTTTTCTGTGCACAGTGGTCATTATAAGAAATTCTATATCTGTACTAGTCACATGTGACTATTTAAATTTGAATTAAAATTAGATAAAACATTTAGCTCCCAGTTGCACTTGCCAGATTTCAAGTGCTCAATAGCTACAAGTGGCTAGTGGCTGCCATATTGGACAGTGCAGATACAGAGCATTCCCATCATAGCAGAATGTTGTCTTGTACAGTGGTGTCCTAGAGAATTACAAAGGTATCCCAGGTTTGGTGGGATAATAGGTTATTGGAATAATCTGAATTTGGAGATAAAATGAATACATTTGTTCCTCTCTATGTGGAGGCTGGTAATAACTTCCATTTACAGAAGTGTCTAAAAATGGCTTTGGTCCTAAATCTGGGGGACTGTCACCAGTCTCCAAGATTCCAATGAAATATATACTTCTTACTCTACAATGAGCTAAGTTATTTTAGTTGAAAGTAAGGAATAACATAACTCCCAACAATATGCCCTAAGATTATGAGATTTTGAAACCTAAACTCTGAACCACAATTCAGTTAAGTATTTTAGAGGCTCTGTATCTTCTACAAATCTGGGCAAATGGGCAGATAAAGAAAACTCTGAAGAGAAGTTATCCTTACCCAAGGAGACCAGATTCCTGTAATTCTCTAGCATCACATCCTTGTGCAGGTTCCTCTGTGTAGGATCCATCAGCCTCCACTCCTCCAATGTAAAGTCAATAGCCACATCCTTAAATGTCACTGCTTCCTAAAGTAAATATATTGTGATCACCAGGGAGTATACAATCGGCCTGTTAAGCAGAATAATACACACAAAACCGGGGAAGAACTCTAGAAATCAGAATCACCAAATGACTATGGAGACCAACCAGTTCAACCTCTTACAGGATGTATGAATCTCTCTAGTGACGAGTATTTAAAACCTAAAGAGGAAGCCCATTTCATTTTTGGAGTTTTAACTCTTAGCAGGATCTTTTAAGACTAATTCAAATTTGACTTTCTGTAATTGCTAAATATTGGCCCTGCTGTATTATGTTATCAAACAGGATGGCTTCCTCCTTCCCCAAAAATCTTTAAAATAGTTTAAAACAGCTAGGAGTTTCCACCCAAATCATTTTTTTCTCCATCAAAATCCTGATTTATCTATAGTATCAGCTATATTTTGGTTCCAATCTACAGAGCATATATCAATAAAAGATAGTTTATCATTCAGATTGTAAAAATAGAATACTTTAAGTTCTCTCTTTGAGAAATAAAAATAAGAAATTATGGGAGTTTGTGGAATTTCTCTGGTGAAGACACGAAAAAAAAGTAGCTTGTATAAAAAATGGAAGAATGACTCATTGGAAATAGTTTGAAGGGGACTGGAATATTTGTTCTGTATATTTGACTTTTTGAACCATGTAACTAGTTTACATTATAAAACAAAATTTTAAATTTAAAAAAGCAATCAGTAAAAAATTAAAAGTTGATACAGTTAGTGCCATACCCATTTGGAGAGGAACTATTCTGAGTGACTTTAAAACACAATAATTTGACTGTATACACCTAGTGGGATATAGCACGACATGAGGACAAGCAGAACTGCAAAAACAACCATTTTCAGTAAACAATCATATTGTTGGTGGTAGTGATGGTAATGCTATTCTGTAACTGTTATGTGTGTAGTTTTGGATCAAGCGAGTAACTATATTGATGTTGCTGAGAACTAGTAAATTTGGCATGGAGAAAGAAGATATTGATGATATTAGGTAAAACTGCCATAGTTCGGAATTTGAATTGAAAGTATCATGAAATATTTTATCTTTAAGGAAAAAAATTATTTCCTAGTTTCATCCACTGAAAAGATCTAGAAAAAATAACCAACATATAGTAGCATTATACAATCCAGATTGTGACCTCTAAATATTGTTTCCCACTAAAAGGAACTGGAACATTCTGTCATACTAAAAAGCAAGGGACAAAAGACTACTAGGATCATGCCTAAGACTCAGGAGAAAACTTTTAAGAGGCTCCCACTGGCCAATGATGGGGCAGTCTCAGCATCAATAAGGATAACAATGGCAACAGATTTGAAAAACATCTAATACGTTTAAATTCATGAGTTCGTGATACCTAAAACAAAAACAAAAACCTCAATGATCACCTTTGGGGGATGCCTGGAATTTGGTGAATAAGTAAAAACAATCAACCTTTTGTCCCTCCTTTCCTATGCAAACTATATGTCAAAGTAATCAAATAGTTAATAAGGGGAGATTTCTCTTTATGGAAGAATTGAAGCTAATAAATGAACAAAGAATGATAGAATTAAAATATCACCATTTTGCCACCTCTAGTGAATTAAAGGATCTAGGCAATCATCAGGAAACCCTGGTGGCGTAGTGGTTAAGAGCTATAGCTTCTAACTAAAAGGTCGGCAGTTTGAATCCACCAGGAGCTCCTTAGAAACCCTATTGGGCAGTTCTACTCTGTCCTATAGGGTCGCTATGAGTTGGAATCGACTCGACAGCAATGGGTTTTTTAGGCAATCATCATCAGTGGCTGATAACATAATAGTTTCACTAGGCATTATGTACTTCCTGATGATATACCCCACCAAAACTTGAATATAATCAAGATTTTCGATTTAATAATTAATAATTTAAAGGAAATGCACAGAACAGAGGGCATGTTAAATCACCCCATGGGGATGCAATTAGTAAAGTCCAGACTGTGGGAAATTTTAAAGCAGTGTTGTCCAATAGAAATATAAAGCAAGCTACATTTAAATTTCCTAGTATCCACATTTTGATCAAAGAGTCTATATAAGAATCTTTGATCAAAAAGGGGTAAATTCAGAATATGAATCTCAAATTCTCATGGAATTCAGATTTTCTAGAGCCATTGAGGCTAGATGAACTGCTGAAGCTTTAAATCTTAAACCAAAACTATCCCCTGGAGTCTTCTTTAAACCAAACAATAGTTTGGCTTAATTAGTAAAAAATGTCTGCCTTGAGCACTGTGCTCTTTTAAAAAATTACAGTATTTTTACACAAATAATGCATGCCTTCTACGTTTGTTTGCCAACCAATCCCTCCCCCCATGAGGTACTTTCCTAAGCATGCTACCCTAATTTTTTTTTTACAGCAACATGTAAAAAAAAAAAGGGCATAGTGGCACTTACAAAAATAAAAATACCTTGATGGAGAAGGGAGTAGGTGGCAAACAAATGTCGAAGGTGCATTACTTGCATAAAAATATAGTATCTATATGGGATAAAACTGACAACAGCAACTCAAAAGGTTAGGTGAGAAGCTTAGGGAGCAGTGAGTTTATGTTAATGATGGTGGAATAATTTGGAAAAGGACAGAGAGAATGGTTCCACAACTTGAAGAATGTAATCAGTCTCACAAAATTGTACATGTAGAAATTGTTGAATTGGTGTATATTTTCACAAAAAAAAAGTTCAAAAAAGAATGGACAAAATTAATTTTAATAATATATTTTATTTAATTAAATGTATCCAAAATATTATAATTCCAACATGTAATCAACATAAACATTGTTATGAGATATTTTACATTGTTTTTTTTGTACCACATCTTTGAAATCCAATGTGCATTTTAAATTTACAGCACATCTCAATTTGGACATTGCGGGTACTCAACAGTCAACACATGGCTAGTCAGTACTACATTAGACAGTGCAGCTGTATAGTACAAATGATCTTGTTTCTTCAATAAACAAATATAAGAAAAAGGAAAAAAGGGAAGGGGAAACCTCTAGATTAAGTGCTGTAAGAGAAACACTGTACAATTAGAACATATAATTCAACTGAGGAAACAACACCTTGATACTTGATGATATGAAGGTTTACCAATAATAGTCATATTAATGAGTTGGAATTGACTCGACGGCAATGGATTTTTCTTTTTTGGATACTTAGCATTAAAAAATCTGTTAGAAATATATAATGAAACATTTATAAATGAAACAAAATGATGTCTTGGATTTGTTTCAAAATAACTAATTAGGGAGGGTGGGATTACAAAGGAAATACGATTGTCTGTAAGTTGATAACTATTGAAGGTGGGCAATAGGTCCATGGGGATTCATTATATACTCTCCCTAGTTTTGTATATGTATACCCCAAAAGCCCAACCCCAACGCCATCAAGTCAATTCCGACTCATAGTAACCCCATAGGGTTTCCAAGGCTATAAATCTTTATAGAAGCAGACTGCCACATCTTTCCCCCATGGAGCTGCTGGTGGTTTTGAACTGCTGATCTTTTGGTTAGCAGTCGAACCCTTTAACTACTGTGACACCAGGGCTCTTGTATATGTATAGTGCTTATTATATGTTGGAGTCCCTGTGTGGCACAGTTAATGCACTCAGCTACTAACCGAAAGGTTGACAGTTCAAGTCCACCCAGAGTTGCTTCAGAAGAAAGGCCCGGTGAGCTACTTACATAAAATCATTTGTTGAAAACTCTATGGAGTACAGTTCTACTTTGACACACATGGGGTCACCAAGAATCAGAACTGACTCGATTACAACTGGCTTATTATATGTTATATACTGTGCTTATCATGTATTAATTGATCAAATTCTCACACAGTCTGGTTCCAAAATTCAGCCTTGTAACACTATACTCTATGATCTACTGCACTAAGTAAAGAACCATAATTAATCATGCAAAGGTCTCAAATTAGATCAACTCTGGCTATGGTCCATACTACATTAAAAGAAACAGATTTCCTGTGTTTTTCTGACATGTAGATATACATGCTTGTCAAATTGTTTAAACCTCTTTGTTTATTTGGACATCAAACTTTGTGATAATTCTAGATAATTCTGTTAATAATAAAACATGGAGAGTGCATGAGATAACTACAGTTCATAAAATTTATTATTAATTACTTCAGATGTAATTCTAATAAACTTGCTGGGCTTCTTTTCCCCAACACCAAGAGATAAGACCCAGGAAAGAAAATGAAGAAGGTCCTCAGCTCTCATCTCTGGCTGACCTTGAAGGTCTGTGTAAAAAGTAAAGGCTAAGGTAGAGTTATAAACTCCTTGCCTGAGAATAGAAGGTGTACCCCAACAAATACACAGAGTCTTTCAAAGAACATTACAAGACTTCCAGTTCAAGTCATTTAAGGAAATATCTTGCCAATCGTTAGCTAATTAGTAAGTTAATCAAGAAGAGATTTCAGTGACCATACACAACAAAGAATAGACTTTACAGAATTCATCCAAAAAAATCACTAAAAAAACCCAAACAAACAAAACAAAAAACCAATGAAATAGTAACAACAATAAACCTCTACAACAAAATACTGTAGGGAAGGGATGAATCTGATATTTAGCATAGTCACATTATATTATTAAAATATTCAGTTTTCAACAAAAAATTACAAGACACACAAAGAAACACAAAAATAGGACCAATACACAGTCAATACAAAAAATAAGCCAACACAAATTGTCTCTGAAGAAGCTAAAATGTTGTGCTTACTAGGCAAAGACTTTATATAAGCTGTTTTAAGAATGTTCAAAGAACTAAAGGAAACCATGTCTAACAACTAAACAGAAAGTATGAGATGTACAGGTCACTAAATAGAAGTTCTGTAGTTGAAAAGTACAATAATTGAAATTAAAAGTTCACTACAGGAGATCAACACCAGAGTTAAGCTGGTAGAAAAAAATAACTGGCAAACTTGAAGACAAACCAATTCAGATTATACAGACTGAAGAAATGCAAAAA